TCTCATGAAGCCTCACTCCACATGTTATTGGTATGTTAAAAGGTGCAACTCCAGGCTGGCATTGCTCATTGTTAGGAGCTGATACATTTAAGTAGTTTCTCCATGAATCACGCAGCTTAGGTATTTTCCCCCTCTTGGCATTGATAGATGAGCGAAAGGAAGCCATTTAGACGGCGCTATATAGGGCCCTGGCCCACACGGTGAATGATTTCCAATGCCTGGTTTAATTTATTTTTAAATGAAATTTGTTATTGATTCTGGATTAAAAGGACAAATCTTACAGCTGTTACCACTGACAGAGCCACAGTGCTCAAGTGACACCTCTCAAGGAGAGGAGGGAGGGTGGCCATCCCAAGTGAAGGGGAGGGTGGAGCCTCTCCAGGGAACCTGGGTCAGAGGTGAGGGGCAGTGCAAGACCCCCTGCCTGCAAGGAACTTTAAAGAGGTCATCTTACTCAGTGGAAATACTTGACATGATATTCACCTTCTGAGCCTCATTTGTATAATGTGGCATGATATTTGCCTAACAGCAGTGATATTTGCTTCATGGCATCCCCTCCAAGTGACCCCCAGGTACTGGTTTAATTGCCTCCAGAGATAGGAGATGGCTCCCTATCTCTCAGGGCATTCCCAGAGTGAAATGAGTGGCAAGAGTCACCCACCCTAGTGAATCTCTAGATTATTTCCTGGGATAGTCATTGACTTCTGCTAGGCTCTTAGCTCCCACAGGGCCTGTGCTTTGCACTTGGATCAGCGAGGCAGACAAGCAGAATAACCCAGGGATGGAGCATGGACCGGGAACGTGTCCATTCCATCCAGGCTCTGCCCCACTCACCACAGGCTCCTGGGCTTCAGTTTCCTCATCTGTAAAATGAGGGTGGTAATAATAGTGGCCTCAGGGATTGTTGGGGAAATTATGTGAGATCTTGGACATAAGTGTGATTTGTAAACTGTAAAGTGCAGTGTAGGTGCTGTAGGAAAAACAAATAGGACAGTATGGTATAGTGGGAAAGCCATGAGCTAGGAGACAGAGTTCTGTTGCGGTTGTTTGTATGACTCAGAGGAAGTCACTCTGAGCCTTAGTTTCCTAAACTGCTAAGAGAAGGATTTAAACCAGATGAACTCAGGCATTATGTCTGAAAGCATGGGCTTTGGACTCAAATATATCACAGTTCTACTTCTGCCTTGTATATGACTTTAGGGAGCTCTGGTGGCATAGTGCCTAAGGCATTTGACTGCTAACCAGAAGGCTGGCAGTTGAAACCCACCAGCCACTCCTTAGAAGGAAGGTTGGGCAATCTACTTCCATAGTGATACTGCCTTGGAAACCCAAGGAAGGGTTGCTATGAGTCGGATCTAACTCAACGGCAGTGAGTTTTTTTTTTTTTTTTTTTTTTTTTAGGCAAGATAATTAACTTTTCTGAGCCTCTGTTTCCTTATATAATAATAATAGCTAACATGTGTCATGTGTTTACTGTGCACCAGGCAATGTTCTAAGTGCTTTCCATGTAGCAACTCAATCTTCACCACAATCTTGTGAGGGCAGTATTATTATTATTATCCTTATTGTGCAGATGAGTAAATTAAGGTACAGAAAGTAAGTAACTTTTCCAAGGTCACATGGATAACAAGGATTTGAGACTCAGAGAGTATAACTCTAGAGCCCACATTTTAAATTACGCTATCCTATCCCATATCACCTGGTTATTCTGAAGAATGCATGAGATAATGTACAGCTGTTAGCACAGTGCTGGGTACAGTGATGGGTCAACCAAGGGGAAAGGAGAAGGCAGCAGGACACTCAGGCTGGACCTTGGCCAATGGGAGACTCAGCTAGCTGGGAGGGAAGGCATACAGGGGAGAAAGAAGCACCAAGCAAGGTAAAGATAGGATGGAGGGAAGGCATGCTCAGGCAGGGAAGAGGCTGGGGCAGAGGGCATAGCTGGAAGTGAGGCTGGGACCTTGAATGCAAAACTAGAGAGGTCAGGGTTTCTCTAATAAACACGGCCACTGGAGAATTTTGAGCAGAGCTATTACATCATGAGCCTTCTCAAAGCCATAAAGTCCCTGGAGGTTTGTCCTTGAAGGAACCTTAGAGGTTACTGGGTTTAACCCTGTTCTCGACTGAAGTCCCCAAGGAGAAAGTATTCCTGAAGGTTAGATGGTGGGCAGTGGCCGAGCAGGGCATGGAGCCCAGCGTGCCGCCATCCCAGCCAGACCTCATTCCTCTGCAACCCCCAAGCAGAGTCTCCTGTTTACTCCTTTCTCTTCTAATCTCCTCCCTCTGTCCCTTGTCTGTGCCCCCTCCCACCAACATGTGGTCTAAAAGGAGAAAGCCCTGGGTTTGAGCCCCAGTTCTGCCACCACACTCTGCTGGAGAGGCCTCAGACTGGGGTTAAAAAACTCTTGGGTTTCAGTCTTGATGCTACTATGTGAGCCCCAAGATCTTTATAATGGGAGCAATAATACCTCTCTTGTCAGTGAGCTCAAGGGAGTTAATAAATGAAGCTTTTGTAAAGTCCAAGGCTCCTAGCAATCCTTGGATAGCCTAAATTCGCGTAAATTCCACCTCTATGTGGTAAGAAAGTGACAAGAAGTGAGTGAGTCGGGCAAAACTGCCCCTTCCTTCCAGAGAGTCGTCCAAGACTCACTCACTGCCTTTCAGTCAGATCCGACTCATAGCGACCCCTCCTCGGGTTTTCAAGCCGGTATCACTACGGAAGTAGATTGCCCAACCTTCTTTCCGAGGAGTGGCTGGTGGGTTTGAACTGCCAGCCTTCTGGTTAGCAGTCAAATGCCTTAGGCACTATATGCCACCAGAGTCCAAGACTAGCCGGGAGAAAACCGGGATCTGTCCGCGGTGCTGAAGGCCACTCAGCGCCTCACTTCCAGAGAGGGGCTGTCTGTGGTGCTGAAATACACCGTGAGCAGCATTTGGGAGCAGCTAAGTCACTTGCCTGCTAACCAGATGGCTGGCGGTTCAAACCCACCAGCCACTCCTCGGAAGGAAGGTTGGGCAATCCTACTTCCGTAGTGATACTGCCTCGGAAACCCAAGGAGGGGTCGCTATGAGTCGGGGCCGACTCGACGGCACATAACAACAACAACAACAACAACAACAACAACTTTAGTTTTGAAGGAACAGGATTGTTGCTGGTAACCACGGGCCCCATATAGTGAGCTGCCCACCATAATATTGGAAGAGGGGAGGGAAAACAGGATGCGAAGACAGAGTAAAGATAGCAAGGTGAGGCTGTCCCTATGGCTCTAATCAGGATCTCAAACTTGCACTCTCAGTAGTGCTGGATCCGCCTTGGGCCTGGAGTGGGGAATGGGCCACCTGATGTGCTGACCCCCATTTGGGGGCAGTAGGGGAGGGAGTCAAAAGGTCTGTCCATGGTGCTTAACCTTCGGGTCTCTAAGAGCCAATGAAGAGCCGTCAGAGGTGCTGAAAAATGTCAGGATTGGTGCTGTCCTGCTCCGTGGTGCTGACACAATAGAGACAGGGCCGTGTCGGGAAGGAGACCTCAGGCAAGGGCGAAGGATGAGAGCGGGAAGAACTCTGCCCGGGATTCAGGGGCCTTCCCCCCGGACTCTCTGTGGGACCTCATGGACTCCACTTCTCTAGTTTGATGTGCCTATTCATCTTTAAACGTGACTACAGGTCTGCCTTCTTGTCTGTACTGAGGATCGGACCTGATAGCTCAGGAAAACGGGTCAGGGAAAACCAAAAGAAAAAAAAAAAAGGAGCTCTGGTGGCAGAGTGCCTAAGGCATTTGGCTGCTAAGCAGAAGGCTGGCGGTTCAAACCCACCAGCCACTCCTTCGAAGGAAGATTGGGCAATCCAGTTCTGTAGTGATACCACCTTGGAAACCCAAGGAAGGGTCACTATAAGGTCTGCCTTCTTGTCTGTGCTGACGATCTGACCCGATAGCTCAGGAAAACGGGTCAGGGAAGAAACCAGAAAATCCTGTTGGGTTCCTGCTCTTGGGAATGGGAGAGACTTCATGCTCCTCCCCCCACCCCCCACCCCCCACACATTCCATCGAAGGAACAGATCTTGACAGTCCAGAAGGTGGCGATCTGATGGATTCTGACTATACAGCAGCTCTATAGGACAGAGTAGAACTGTCCCATAGGGTTTCCAAGGCTGTAAATCTTTATGCAAGCAGACTGCCACATCTTTCTCCAATAGAGGGGCTGGTGGTTTGAACCACTAACCTTTTGGTTAGCTGACAAGCACTTAACTACTGTGCCACAGGCTTCCTATGCACTGCATAGACCCCTGCGTCTTAAAGCAGAAGGAACCCCAGCGATGGGCCTGCTTCACTCTCAGTGCACAAACGTGAAGGCAGGCCCAGAAAGGGCAGCGAAAACAGTAACTGTTGAGCTCATACCTTGAGGGGAGCATTATGCTAAGGGCACGCATACACGATTTCCCCAAATCCTCACCACTGCCCCTGAGGAAGCTACAGTATTTTTATCCCCATTTCTCAGATGAAGATCTTGAGGCTTAGCCAGGAGCAGTGTCCGGTGAGAATCACACTGGGAGCCAAAGACTGCAGCACAACTATAACCAGGTCTCCTGCGTCTCAGCCTAGGGTCCTTCCCTATCCCACCCTCACCTGCACCCCTGCTGCCTCCCTCGCCCCGGCACCTCCCTACTAGCAAAGTTGAAGAGTCCCTTGAGCGCTCTGGGTCTGCAGACAGGCAGACTGGCTTTTCCCCTTATGCCGCTGGATATCATCTCTGCTTCTGAAGCCAGTTGTATTGTTTTGCTCTAGAAGCACCAGGTACCCGGGGTGGCTTCGTCCACCCCGGGTCGCCACCGCCCCGGTTCTCCGGCAGGGAAAGTTGCGGGTACCGCTTTAAAAATCTCAGCCTGGGCAAAACTTTGATGATAAATCAAGTGGCAGATCCCTCCGCCGCCGCCTCCTCTGGGCGGGCGGGAGGGAGTGGGAGGGAGGGGGTGCGGCGGCGGAGGCGCCGCGCGGAGTGGCCTTCCGCGGAAGGGAAGAGTCCCGCAGTCGGAGGCGGCCGGCTGGGCGTGCGCTCGCTACCCGCAGCCGGGGCCGAGCCGGAGCCGGGCGAGGGCTGGAGCCGGGGCCGCGCCGGAGCCAGCGGGCGAAGAGCAGCGGCCGGAGCCAGGCAGCCAGGCCGCACAGGGCAGGGGCCGGCGGGCGCGGGGTCTGCGGTCTCCCGAGCCCCGATGTGAGGCGGCGGCGCCCCCGGCCCGAGCGCGCACCATGGGGGCCCCGTTCGCAGTGGCGCTAGGCGCCCTGCACTACCTGGCACTTTTCCTGCAACTCGGCGGCGCCACGCGGCCCGCCGGCCACGCGCCCTGGGACAACCACGTCTCCGGCCACGGTGAGTTCTGTCGCCGCCCCCGCGGACTTCCCTACCAGGCCCCCACCCGGGGCTGCGCTCCTCCAACTTGGCCACCTAGGGGCTCGAACCCGCGCTGACCGTGGTGGGAGTCCCGGGGCGCCCCCTGCCGGGGCCGTGGTCCCGTCCTAGCTCCCTGGCCATCCAACGAGAGGGAAAAAGGGTACCCAGAGCGCACTACCGTTTCTCTCTCGCGGACTACCCCCTACACACACACACACACTCGTGTGGATACACACACTTCCACGACCACACAGCTATTCACAACCACGGACGCACTAAGATCCACACTCAGCTGCTTTCTCACACTCATAACTCCTGCCCTCACACATCTCCAGACTCCTTCCCACACACACTTCTCGCTCATAAACACTCACACTTATGCCCACTACACAGCTTGGGCCGCTGGTGGGCTCCCACCCTGCCAGCTGGCGCCCAGACGCACCCACTCTGCCACAACTCTTGCCTGTCCGCCTGCAGACACGCTGGCACGCACGCACACGGGCACACTCACACACTCACACACCCCACTTGTGAGCATGCTTTGCTTGCCTGCTCCTCGCTGCCCATCTGCCTTTCCCCCTTTGTAGGTTTTACCCCACAGCTGCCCTTGTCCTCCACTCTCCACACCTGCCCCTTAGGGCACTGGGAAAGGTCTTGGGGGCAGAGGCCTGCCTGCCTGTTGGGAACGACTAGCCTCTAGGCTGCAGCATTCCCTCTGGGGAGGGTAGCATCTCAGGGAGGGACGAAGCCTGTGGGAGCCCCTGGAAGACACTGAAATAGTTGGGGTTGCAGCTTCCAGCCAGAGGCATGAGCGAGAGAGAGGGATGCCAGGCGCTTTTGTCTGCCTCTGGGGGTGGGCAGGAAGCCCCTGCCATCCTTCCACAGAGGACCCTCCCCTTCATCCTCATCCTCATCCTCATCCTTGGCTCTGGGAGACCAAAATGTGGGAGATCTCAACTCCAGCCACTGTGGGAACCAGGGAGCCAGCAGGCGTCACCAGCACTGACTGCCTGAGTGTCAGAAGCTCCTTCTAGCCTCCGAGGAGCCCAAGTTGGCAGCAGAGTTGGATTGTCTGAGGCTGGTAGCTGTGCCCGCTGTAAGCTGGGCTTCAGTATGGGGGCCAGGGCAGAGATGAAAACTGAGGAGACCCTTGCTCCATCCATCCCCTCCCTCTGGGGACTCCCCAGCTGGTGGGGGAGGCTGCAGCACCAATGCTGGGCACTGTGTGCCCAGGGCTAGGGGGAGGCTTGCACCAATGGCAGCGATGTGGGTGATGCATTCTGATGGAAATGAGTGAGGGGTGTATGTGGGGACAGGGTAGGGCTGGATAATGGGGGAAGGCTCTTTGGGGAATGACAAGTGAGTGGGATGGCTCCAGGGGCCTCAGGGCCATTCTTGAGGTCTCTGGTTTTGGGGGACCATGACTCCCTGCACCCTTCTGCCTCAACATGTTTGATAGTAACCTCTCTGTGTATCATTTATGCACCTTCATATCCTTCATCTAATTGCTACCAGCCAGGCTGAAGTTCTGGTAGCATAGTGCCTAAGGCACTTGACTGCTAACCAGAAGGCTGGCGGTTCAAACCCACCGGCCACTCCTCGGAAGGAAGGTTAGGCAATCCTACTTCCGTAGTGATACTGCCTCGGAAACCCAAGGAGGGGTCGCTATGAGTCAGGGCCGACTCGACGGCAAATAACAACAACACAGGCTGAAGTGGTAGGAAGTAGGGGAAGGGTTATTATATCCTCAGTACCCGGACGGGGAAAACAAGGCTCAGAGAGGTGGTAGAACTTGACCAAGGTCACGCAGGGAGTGGGTAGCTGAGCTGGGACTGGCCCCAGGTTCTGTTGGGCAAAGACAGAACATCCCTTTTTCTAAGACATTCATCTCCCTGTCAGATTCCCTCCCATTCAAGGGAAACTGGGAATTCCTCCCTCCTCTGCTTTCCTCTCCTCACTCGGCTCGGTTCCTTGGCATGGCTAGAACTTACACTAGGAGGGTTTTCCAAGGAAAGGCTTCCCTGAGTTTGTGGTCCTAAGAGGAATGAGCACTGGGGCTCTGAGGTTGACAGTCACCTCATCTAGGGAGCACCAGACCCCAGGGACTTGGGTGCCACTCTGTCGTTCCCGAAGCCCCAGTGGGCCCCCACAGGAAAGCAGGCTTTGCCCTTTCTGTCAGTCTCCACCTGCCCCCTGCTGCCAGGCATTAGGAGGGGCACAGCTCTGTCCTGCCAGCCGTCATCTCCCCTCCACACCCTGGAGAGGTCCGGCTAAGGACCGGAGGAGGGGCTGGGCGGAGGAGAGACACCACTGGCTGCTGGGGGAGCTGGCCTCTCTCACTGACCCTCTGCGTGGCTCTGGCTAAGTGAGTCCACCTCTGCAGACCTCCCTCTGTCCCTTAAGAAGTGAAGAGGCCAGGGTAGACCGCAGGAGCCAGGCTGCCTTCCCCTAACCCTGCCAGGTTCAAAGACACCAAGTAGTGCTGCTATGGAGCCCCCACAGGCTGCCCCTCTGCTGGACCAAGTGGCCGCCACCACAGAAAGGGTTTGGAGCCACTCACTTAATCACAAAAAGAAACTGTTATTAATGATAGTGAGACACGGCGAATAAGTGGGTCATGTCTAATAAGCCATTTGTGTTCAGGAGGAGAATACCAATTTGATAAAAGCTGTGTGTGCTGAAAAGCCCAGAAATTGCTGTTTAGCAGATTGGCGCCTGATCGTTTCATTATTCCTGGGCTCCGTGTGTCCTCAGCTGATTCAGGAAATGTGGCCAGGTCGGCGAGGTGTCTGGGTGCATGGCAGGAGTCGGGGCTCCTGGGGAGGGCCCCGCTGACCTCAACCGCCTGGTGCATGCTCACCTCTCCAAGCCCAGCCCAGCCGCCAGCTAAAGCCTTCCACCTGCCTACCCTGGGGCTTGTCATGGGGAAAGCCCGTGGTCAGGTGGATCTGCGGGGGCATCTGTCTTGCTTCTCGTTTGCCTCCTACCTCCTCTCAACCCACTTTGCAGAGAGCGTTCTAAAGGCATGAGGGATGAATGGGGACTGAATAGGACGTGCCTCTAGGAGTCTGGGGTGGTGGTGGCTGGTATCAGCACCCAGAGGTGCTCGAAGAATGGCAGCAATTTTGGTGTTTTTTTTTTTCTCAGAAAGGGTTGGCTGATTGCTGGCCACACAGAAAGCAGGGACGGGTGGAAAGGGAGCCAATACAATGAACCCTCTACTATGTGCTAGGCACTACTGAACCTTTTGCCAGTGTTAGTGCACTGAGGCTGGCATCATTCATGCAAGGCTGGTAGTAGGCAGGGGTGAAAACTGAGGTTCAAAGAGGGCCAATGACTTGCTCAAGGTCAACAAGGCAGACAGCTGGAGAGCTGTGTCTAAAATAGAGGTGTATCTGCCAGTTCTGGGCCTGCCTTCTCCAGGGCAGCCTTGAAGCAGGCCTGGCCCAGTCCTGGGACGAGACCTCTTCCTCTGCATAGCCCTACCCCAACTGTGCTTCCTCCCAGCGTCTCAGAAAGGTGACAGTATCTTCCTGAGGCCACAGGCAAATTAGAAACATGCAGCTGGAATGGACTCCTTATCCAGTGCTCTTTCCAAATCTTGTCCAGGACAGAGTCTAGAGGGTATGATCTTTGTGAGGGCTGCAGACTTCCTGCCTTGGAATCACCCAGAAAGTTAGTTAAAATGAAGATGCCAAGGCGCCCGCCCAGACTTACTGAGTCAAGATATTTATTGATGAGGCCTTGGGATCTGCATTTCAATAAGCTCCCTAGATGATCCTCATGCAGCTTGGAGTTTAAACGGAAGCACCCGAAGTATTCACTAGTACTGACAGGAGATGCAGCGATGGGGAATTGTCTGGTGCTTGTGGCTGGCTTGGTTTGGTTTGCAGGAGACTGGGAAGTCCAGGCTGGGCAGGTATGTGGATCCTTAAAGGAGTCCAAGAAAGCCTCGCACTGCAGCAAAGATCCATCCTCCCACCCTAGCCCCATCTCACACACACACACACACACACACACCCTAGGCCAGCACCTTCAATTATTAATACACCCCAGTGCAGACAAAGATCGGGCTTGACCTGGCCCTTTGTCCACTGAGTGATTCGCAGTCCTGAGGTTCTGTTACCAGGAGGGAGAAGCGTGGGCTGGGGAGGGGGCGGGGGCTGCCAGGCCATTTGGCAATCTGTGCACTGAAAAATGACTGTGGCTTTCTTGCGTCCCTTACCAACCTGGAGGTATCTCACCATCAATAAGCTGGTTAGTTCGGTGGCTGGGAGATGGAGAAAATTGAGTCCTGTCTTCCGAAGGTTATGATGTTAAAAATGTGTTTGCCTTTGTCTCAGGCCTTGGTGATTATTCTATCAATTACGCCCGTAAATACTTCGCCTTGGGCTGAGGGTTTCCCAGCCTCCTGCAGGGAATTGGCCCTCACAAGCGGTTTTCCCAGGTCCTTCACACCAATTGCTTCTGACACCTTGCCCATCAGCGCCTCCAGCGGCCTCTTCCCCAAAGAAGGGGAGCCGCAGGCGGCCAGCAGAACTAGGGGTATTCGGCTCATTGCCACGGTGATGGCAGGAGTGGAGGAAAGACACCCGTCACAAACAAATGGGCAGGGTCAAGAGGTCCCTTCTGACCCACCTGCCACTGGGGCAGGAGATGAAGTGTTTGGAATGAATTGAGAGGCTCAGGCTGAGCCAGATAGGCCCCTTAGACCAGCTTCCTCAAGACCCCTCTCTTAGAGATGGGAAGGTCAAGGCCCATGGTCAAGGGGGCATTTCTCCAAAATTGGCTTGGCTTTTGGTACTTTGGACATGGTATCAGGAGGGACCAGTTCCTGGAGACAGATGTCATGCTTGGTAAAGCAGAGGGTCAGGGCAAAAGAGGAAGACCCCCAACAAGGTGGATTAACACAGTGGCAGCGACAGTGGGCTCAAGCACAGCAAAGATTGTGAGGCTGGCACAGGACCGGGCAGTGTTTC